CCACCAATTTATTCTCTAGTGCCTCTGCTTTAAAAAAATATATGTTTGGGGGGTTCAAATTAATTTTCTAGTCACAGAAAAAGGCTTAATCTTCAAGTGGTTAGAAGAGTGGGTGATGTGTGGCATACATTTCTAATGTTGGCCCTGATATGCCAGGATAGTAGAAGCATCCCCCAAATGTCCCCTTTTTGGAAAGTACACACTCCAAGGTTTATGCTAAAAGGCATGATGAGATCTCATTTGTTGCCACAAGTTTTTGGAAAATGAAGAAAGAAAATGAAAATTTCCACTTTTCTTTTTCAAAACCCCTCAACAAAAATGATATCTGAAAAATACTCACCATGCCTCTTAAATTCCTTGGCGTTTGTCATGGGTGGGTTTGTCATGGGGGGGGGGGCAGTGTTTGTACTATCCCGGCATTTTAGGGCTTCCAAAACTGTGATAGGTAGTAAGGAAGTGACATGAGGAAATATGCCCTTTGAAAGCCTGAATGAGGTCACTGGATTTTGGGGGCTGCCAAAAAGTCTCACACATGTGGAATTCCCATACACCGGAGATGTAACAGAATGTGTTTTGGGGTGTTATTCCACATATACCCATGGCATGCGTGAGCAATGTATAATTTAAGTAACGACTGTGTAAAAAAAAAAAAAAAAAAAAAAAGGTGGTCTTTTTCCAAAAATGACATGGGCTCAACATGTCTCTCAGCAATTTCCTACTTTTCAAAAAGGGGTCATGGGGGGGGGGGGGGGGGGGGTTGGACTGCCCTGGCATTTTAACACCTCAAAAAATGTGATAGAAAGTGAAAAAGTAAATGCTGCGTTAATTCCAATACTCCATAGTTTGTAGACGCAATAACTTTCACACAAACCAATTAATATACAGTTACTGGGATTTTACTAGACATGTGGAAGAATACATTGTAGCCTAAATTTATGACCAAATTAGAGTGCACTGGATATTTTTTATAAATTGAAAGTAGAAATTCTTTTTTTCCAAAATTTTCGGTCTTCTTTTGTTTATATCACATAAAAAAACAAAAAACAAAACCCAGTGGTGATCAAATACTGCCAAAAGAAAGCTCTGTTTGTGTGAAAAAAAGGACATAAATTTAATTTGGGTACAGTGTTGCATGACCGCTCATTTGCCAGTTGAAATAGCGCTGTGCTGAATAGCAAAAAATGGCCTAGTCAGGAAGGGGGGAAAACCTTCCGGAGCTGAAGTAGTTAAGGCCCACACTGCATGGGTTAAAAGCCTGTTTGTCTTGGAGGGGGGGGGGGGAATAAGTACAAAATACTTACAATATTTCTCACTCCTGCAGGCTTTCTTCTCTTTGTGTAATTGCTGCCCAGCCATCTCAGAGCTGTCTGACAGGACCAGCAGTCCTGCAATGTACAGGAGGACTGTGAAGTCCAGAGCATCAGACAGTGGAGGAGAGTGCTGAATAGAGGAGCAAGCAATACATTTTTTTGTGCTTATCCACCCCCCCCCCCCCCCCATATATAAATGAGCATTTAATTCATGCAGTGCTGGGAGGAACCCACTGCATGGGCACATTTGGAAACAGCCTGGAGTTGGGCTTTATGTTTGGTTAGTCAAATCTGCTTCTATTAAAGCCAGGATTATTTTTATAATTAATGTAATATTTGTGTTTTACAGAAAATAGCTGATACTGCAATGACAACTTTCATGTGCTGTTTTGTCACCAGATGTCCATGAAATGGCTGTTTTGTAGAAAACACAATCAATATTAATATTTCTGTCCCTTTTTTGGCCTCTGTATTCATAAGCAGCCACACTTTAACCACATTAGTAATTTCCTCAGCACCCTAAAATATTTGGCTGGGTTGACATTTGACAACACTCCACTCTGAGCACTATGTTATATACTCCATACCAGGTACAGTGGGTAAAATAAGTATTGAGAACATCACTAGTACCGTATGCTGAAAAACAGCCCCACGTCATGATGTTCCCACCAGCAAACTTCACTTTTGGTATGTTTTTTTTGGGGTGACGTGCAGAGCCATTTGACCTCCAAAACATAGTGTGTATTATGACATCCAAAGAGTTCAGTTTTGGCCTCATCTGACCTGACTATAGTGGGGAAAATAATTATTTGATCCCCTGCAGATTTTGTAAGTTTGCCCACTTACGAAGAAATGAAGGGTCATATGTGTATTTTAAATGGTAAAGACAGAATATCAACCAAAAGTCCAGAAAAAACACGATACAAATGTAATAAATTGAATTGCAGTTCAGTAAGTAAAAGAGGTATTTGATCCCCAAGCAAAACATGACTTAGTACTTGGTGAAGAAACCCTTGTTGGCAAGCATAGAGGTAGGACGTTTCTTGTAGTTGGTTACCAGATTTGCACACATCTGAGGAGGGATTTTGGTCAACTCTTCTTTACAGATCTTCTCTAAATCATTAAAGTTTCTTGGCTGTCACTTGGCAACTCAAAGTTTCAGTTAATGCCATACATTTTCTATAGGAATAATGTCTGGAGACTGGCTAGGCCACTCCATGACCTTAATTTGTGTCTTCTTGAGCCACTCCTTTGTTGCCTTGGTGGTATATTTTGGGTCATTGTCATAATGGAAGACCCATCCACGACCCATCCTCAGTGTGCTGGCTGAGGGAAGAAGATTCTCAACTAAGATTTTACAATACATGGCCCCATCCATTGGGCCCTCAATGCAGCAAAGTCAGCCCAAAGCACAATGTTTCCACCTCCGTGTTTGACTGTAGAGATGGTGTTCTTAGGGTCATAGTCAGCATTGTTTTTCTTCAAACACGGTGAGTCAAGTTAATGCTAAAGAGCTAAATTTTGGTCTCATCTGACCACAGCACATTTTCCCAATCCTTCTCTGTATCATTTAGATGTTCAATGGCAAACTTCAGATGGGCCTGTACATGTGCTTTCTTAAGGAGGGGGACCTAGCGGGCACTGCAGGATTTCAATCCATGGCAGTTTATTGTGTTGCCAATGGTTTGTTTGGTGACTGTGGTCCCTATTGCCTGAAGATCATTCACAAGCTCATCCTATGTAGTTCTGGGGTGATCCCTCACTTTTGTCATGATCATCCTTACCCCATAAGGTGAAATCCAGCATGGAGCTCCAGACCGAGGGCGATTCATGGTTATTTTGTATTTCTTCCATTTGCGAATAATCGCTCCAACAGTTGTCTCCTTCTCACCAAGATTCTTGCAGCCCATTTCAGCCTTTTGGAGGTCTACAATCTTGTCCCTGATGTCCTTTGGCAGGTCTTGGGTCATGCCCATGGTGATGCCCAAGAGAGAGATTCTGTGGACAGGTGTCTTTTATACACATAATGAATTGTTATTAGGAGCACCTTCTTAAAGTGACAGAACTAATTGTGTACCACATGAGCACATAGCCAGTCTGTGGGAACCAGAATTATTGTTGGTTGATAGGAGATCAAATACTTATTTTACTCATTGAACTGTAATTCAATTTATAACATTTGTATCATGTATTTTTTTCTGGATTTTTGGTTTATATTCTGTCTCTATCATTTAAAATACACCTATGATAACAAATTATAGACCCTTCATTTCTTTGTAAGTGGGCAAACTTACAAAATCTTCAGGGGATCAAATAATTATTTTCCCCACTGTATATTCCCCCAGTATTTCATAGGCTTTCCTAAAAGTTGTGCGGCAAACTTTAAATAAGCCTCGACATGCTTTTTCGTCAGCAATAGAGTCTTGCGTGATAAGCGTGCATACAGGCCATGGTGGTTGAATGCATTACTTATTGTTTTGTTTGAAACAATTGTACCTGCTAATTCCAGATCTTGCTGAAGCGCTCTACAAGTGGTGCTTAGCTCTTAGACAACTCCTCTGATTATGTTTTCATTCCTCTGTCAAAAATCTTGTGAGGAGCACCTGGTCGTGGCCGATTTATGGTGAAATGATGTTCTTTCCACTTCCAGATTATGGCCCAAACAGTGCTCACAAGCAATACTTCTGTAACTAATGCCATGTTTTGCAACAATAAGGTTGCGAAGGCCTTTAGAGAGCTCCTTGCTTTTACCCATCATGAGATGTTTTTTGTGTGACACCTTGGTAATACGCCACCATTTTATAGGCCATCAGTTGAGACTGAACCAGCTGATATTAATTATGTGATGCGATTTCAGGTGTGATTTCAATTCCCAAATCGCACTGGTATGACCGAGAACTGATAACGTTTGCAAAAGTTGCTTGCATATCCAGGGATGAAAATGTTGGGGTTCTTGGAGACTCCTTTTAGCATTAATTAGCTCTTGTGCTGAATTTGATGGCCCAGCCAGCCGTGGACAAATTAGCAGTTGTTTGAAATCTACACCACTTGTAGATTATTTTTCTTACACAGTGGAATTACTTATTTAAACTACCGTATTTTTCGCTCCATAAGACGCACTTTTTCCCCCCAAAAAAGGGGGGAAAATGTTAGTGCCTCTTATGGAGCGAATATAAAGCGGCCGGTCCGGTATTTCCGCCGCCACCGTGTCAGAATACCGGGCCGGCCGCTCAGCTGTTCTCTGCGGCAGAAACTCACCCGTTCCTCGGTCCAGCGCTGTAGTCTTCCCGTGCCGGCTTCTTCTCGCCCCGGCATCTGTGACAGCCGGGTGCCCACTGCGCATGCGCGAGAAGCGCTGCGCTTTGTGAATGGTCCGGTGTCTTCTGGGACACGACAGGTCCCAAAAGATGCCGGGCCATTCACAAAGCGCAGCGCTTCTAGCACATGCGCAGTTGGCACCCGGCTGTCAAAGTCGGGTGACAACAGTATAGGAAGGAGAATTCAGTCAAATTCAGGTACCCGCTCCCCCTCCCTCCCTAAAGGTCCACAATCTCTGGTCATCCCCTGTGCTGTCCGCAGTCTCTGGTCCATCTCCTGTACTGTGTCCGCAGTCTCTGGTCCATCTCCTGTACTGTGTCCGCAGTCTCTGGTCCATCTCCTGTACTGTGTCCGCAGTCTCTGGTCCATCTCCTGTACTGTGTCCGCAGTCTCTGGTCCATCTCCTGTACTGTGTCCGCAGTCTCTGGTCCATCTCCTGTACTGTGTCCGCAGTCTCTGGTCCATCTCCTGTACTGTGTCCGCAGTCTCTGGTCCATCTCCTGTACTGTGTCCGCAGTCTCTGGTCCATCTCCTGTACTGTGTCCGCAGTCTCTGGTCCATCTCCTGTACTGTGTCCGCAGTCTCTGGTCCATCTCCTGTACTGTGTCCGCAGTCTCTGGTCATCCCCTGTACTGTGTCCGCAGTCTCTGCTCATCTCCTGCACTGTGTCCGCAGTCTCTGGTCATCTCCTGCACTGTGTCCGCAGTCTCTGGTCATCTCCTGTACGGTGTGCGCAGTTTCTGGTCATCTCCTGTATGGTGTGCGCAGTGTCTGGTCACTTCCTGTACTATGTCTGCAGTTCATTGGTTCAGAATATTTTTTTTCTTGTTTTTCTCCTCTAAAACCTAGGCGCGTCTTATGGAGTGAAAAATACGGTAATTTGGTGATCTTTTTAAATCCCTTGTCAGACTCCTAGGCATTTCACATTTTTTTTTTCTGAGAGGACCTTAGAGATCTTGGCAGGATGACACCAAAAACATTAATAGTAAAAAGTCACTTGGCATTAGATATCAAGTACCACCTGAGGATATTCTAATCACAGGCACCTAATTCTGGACGCTCAATTCTAAATTCATGGATTTGAAGCGTTGGGAAATGTAGGGTTTTATTTACTTTATCCATGCAACAATAACATTTTTGTTTATTTAGATTACGAGAATTCTTACACCATGGCAATTGTAGATTTCATTTGTTCAGGTGTATATCGACTTTATCTGTAGGCACTATTTGGCTGTTGAAAGTCAAAAGTTTCCAAGGTGTGATTACTTTTTCACACGACGACGCAAGATAATCTCAATGCACCTACACAGTGCACCACAATGCAAAGAAATTAACCATCTATGTGTTGTGGTGATCTACATTTAAATAAAAAAGGTGCAGGCCAGTTAAAATAATTTAATGTAAAAAATGGTTGAATCCAGGAGTTATTAAAAATGGAGTTCTCTTTCCAATGCGATTTTTGGGGCAGGTGTCCATACTAACAAATTGAATATTGTATACAAGAAAAAACAGTGGTTCCAGGTCCCACAACAAGAATAACTCCAAGTGTAGAATGCAGATTTCATTAAACACAAAATTACATATTTATACAAAAAGCATATCCCCCCTTCCTCCATAAAACAGAACAATGGTGTCCAAACCATTCTGCAACCACAATAAACTATATGACTCTAGCTGTCTAAGGCCTCTTTTACACGGGCGTTCCGCTTGTCCATTTTTCATCTATCCGTTGATGGATAAAAAAAACAGACATCAATGCATCTCTATGGAAAAACAAATGTAAATGGATGATCATCCGTTTACATCCACATCTGTCAAAATCTGTCAAAAAATGTGAATGAACTGATGAAAAAACAGAGTGCCAGTGTCAAAGGATCCTAAAACTGCTTAGTGTTGCACAGAGCAATCCTTATCTCCTCTTCTGCAATCTGTTCACTCCTTCTTATGAGTGCCCCCTCAGCACGTTGAGTGCTGAAGGGACTCCGATGCGGGTGTGCTCCCAAACAAGGTTGTATGCGTCTATAGGCATGCCCAGCGTGGCTTGGCCCTACCCACAGAATTTGACTGACAGCAGCTCTCAGTGTCTCTTGTTAGAGCAGGAAGAGAGATCACCGTCGCTGCGGCCAGGACAACTCTGGAGGGTGAAAGGACTCAGGTAAGCATTTAGGGATGGGGAAGAAATGGGTATTGGAATTTCTTACCCTAATGCATAGAATACATTTAGGGTAAAAATCCTTTTGAATTGTTAAAACACAACATTAGCGTATGTAATAAGTGCATTAATGCACTGCAACAGCATGAATCCACCCTTACAGAAAATAAAATATATACTGAAACAATGAGAGGGCACCTGGATAATCCATGAAGGGGGACTTGGGCAAAACAGGTGGAGAACTTTTGACCTAGTACATAAAGCAGAGAATTCATAAAGAATGTCACAGTCAACCTTTAGAATTCCAATGGTAGCTGCACCAAAATTGACAGCGCTTGCAGCAGATTCATGTACTTGTCATAGACAGATACATGAATCTGTCGGTGCTGGGCACTCCCTCATTCTCTGCCCACTGTGCACATCACACTGACATGCACATGGCTGAAAAGTTTTGTAGCAGGGGGTAGTAGTAGATGACTGACAGCACACAAAAGATGGCAGATCCACAGCCGCTATTCAGTCCAATAGTCGCTTTTGAATCCTCCCACTGCCAATCAAAAGGGGAACTAGTTTCCCAGTTTCCTATTAGGTTTTTGTCAATCAGTGACATAAGTCATTTCCCAAATATGGACATTGCCATACACCACCGCTATCCACAGTGCCTTTGTTTACATTCAGTTGGGGAATATCTACCATAGCGACAGGTTGTTAAAGAGGTGGTAGTTAGAACCAATATCCAAATTTGTTGGCAGTGTCAGTGATGTTACTGAAACTGGCACAAATGCTTGCCTGAAATAGGCACAGATATTTCTAATGGAAGATACCAACAGAAAAGTGCAATTTAGGCTTGATTGCATTCTGCTAAACAAATAGGAACCAATACTGAGAACAGCCACAGAAAGCTGAAATATCAGTTTTCTGACCTGGGTATACAGAGACCAAAAAATGGGCAACATTAACCGGACGACTTTCACTCCATGTGTACAGCTGACCAGCTCCTGTTGAAAACCAACATTCAATCAGCATTTTCAGCCAATGGCTGCAGCGCTGATCAGTGTATTCTGACAAATGGGCGGGTGGGGGTATGGGGGTAGAGACCCAACTGTCTGAATACAACAGCTCAGTGGGAGAAATGGTTTGTGTTGATGCAGGGATCTGTCAGTTTTTTTTTCCGTTAAAGTCTACAAAAAAAAAAAAAAATACATGTGTATACCCTGCTTTAGGTGGACTGACCCTTCATTGTTTTCAAAGAGACTGCTTCTTCGTTCTGGGGGTTTAGTTACACTAGTGACTTGTCTGCTGCTTGCAAGTTTTCAGTAGCTGCCAGTGTCATATGATACAAGCTTCATGCTGGGATGTCTGTTGTCAGCACAGGAGAAGTCACTACCTCCAGCTAGTCAAAAGGTAATTTACCTGTTCTCACAAAAGGTTGATAATGGACACTTTTTCAAAGCAACTGCATGCAAACTATCATGAGCAACTATTTATCAAATGAAAAAAAGTGTCCAGCAAAAATACACTACACTTTTTTCTTCAGTAATTATATAAAGCGGGTACAAAGTGAGGTAAAATCTCTGATAGCAGCAGAAGCAGAAATACATTTTTAATTGAGTCAAAGAAGGCTAGAAACCCAGTCAGGTTTTTTATTGCTGTCTGTATCCCTCCTTCAGATTTTACCTGGTAAAACCATTGTCATTGTGACAGTGAGGAAAACACTCTAAGCTGGATAGCAGTTAAATCCTGACATAGCTTCCTAGCTCTTCTAAACACCTGAAACTAAAAAATAAAAGGTTTTAGCTGAACTCTCAATCTTCAAACTCAGTCATATACCCTTTCATATATCAGCCCATCTTAAAATCCTTGTTTTACCTACCCAAATACGAGGGAAAGACACCCTTTGCAAGCTTAGGCTACATGTAGATAAATTAATGTTAAATGCAGGAGGCAGCAATTCTATACCAGTAGGGTAGATGTTTAACTAGCCAGGGAATCTGTTATTTCATTCACAATAGTAGTAAAGACACTAGTTGAGATTTTTAAATGTACTGGCTACTTGACTAAGCCACCTGCAGAGCTTGGACTATGCATGGCACAAGAAGAGACAAGCAGGTGCACTTCTGTAAGGGAACTAGATGCAGGGGTACCAGTTCCAGAGAACAACAGTCTAAAGACGTATCTACTAATAGGGAGCAATAGTTTCCTGATTTTTCAAGCACGTATACTTAGAAGGTAATTGCTTGGGAAAAAACTGTGTGCGTGTTCCCTGCTGTAACATTTGTCCAATTACAGCAAAAGGTTTCCAGTAAAGCTGCTGCCTAATTAGCATTCTTTGTAATAGTTTAGGGTCCATTTATATGGGCGATAAGCACACCCTGCGATTTCCAGCGGCAAAAATCTATGGATTCCTGCGTCTGGAAAGAAAGGTGTGTGAGAATAGCTGCAGCAGCACAGCCAATACAAAACAATGAAAGACTGACTGGGCCACAGCTATTTGTGACTGTTCACACAGCCAGTGATTACCTGAAGTGATTGTGGCTGGATACATTTGGTGTACATACTGTAGCCATTCACATACCTGCCAGAAATCTGCAGATTCTTGCTGCTGGAAATCGATGTGTTCATCATCCATGTGAATGTAGCCCTAAACACAAATATGATACATCACAACCTCTAAATTTGCGCAGATACCAACAAGCAATCATAATACAAACAGGCAATTGCTACTATATGATGAAATTCATAACATTTCCATGTAACATTTTTGTAGAAAACCAAAATTTCCTGGCATCTTCATGGCATGACACACAGGGAACGGAGTGAACTCGTGTGTAATGCCATGGAGGTACCCCAGAAGGGGAAAATTACAGTAAGTAATGGTAATCAGTTTTACATTCCATCACACATGGGTTGACTCTGCTCTCTGTTTTGTGATACCATGGAGATACATCAGGAAAGGAAAATTACATAGGTATTGGTAAATTTTCCTTTTTTGTGTTTTGTGGATTACAAATCATAGACATTCAACTTATACATATAAACTGATATGAATCAGGTCAGTCATTGTTCAGTCTGTGAGGGCCATCATGCTCTTGTATTTATTTTTGTCATTATATATATTTTCCCCTTCTGCACCACATGGTACTGTAATCACTCATATATTGTTTTCTAATTTAACAATTATTATGCCAGGCCTTCCTTTTAGGGCCTGTTCACACTTTCAACACCAATGCATGTTAAAAGGATAAGTTCACCTTTAAACAAAAAATAATAAATGCAAGCAGATACATGAAGCTCCACAGCGTTCTGGTAGTTCTTTGAGAACTGCAAGCCGACAGCCGCAAAAGCTCTTTCACCATCATTTGTATGAATTTATTGATCTCTATTTAGGGATTCACGCTTATTTGTGTTTTATTTTATTTTGTGTATGATCCTATTTTGGATAGTGGGGGTATTGGTTCCTGTTTGTTTATACCAGGTGTGATCACTTTTTCACTTGAGATCCCAGAGAGGACCAATCCGCCGATTTATTGGCACTTCTATATATTTTATGTCACTTTATATTGAGATCTCTAGAGAGGATCAATCCACAGATTTTTTGTCACACATATATATTTATGGCACTTTGTTTTTGCCATATTGTATTATTTTATTATTAGGGTAGCGCTGCATCATTTTGGTTTCGTTAATCCTAGTTGGGGTGCCATTCAAAAATACACCTCATCGCACCAGTGCATTACTGTAAATAG